GGATCCCAAATATGCCTGTTTTGGTGTGACTTCCACACTGCTCTATTGTGTAACATTCCCAGGAAGATTTGCTAGGAAGATCCAACTCAGGAGAACCGACTGTACCTTTAATCAAAATAACTGTAATCTTCCAGCTCCAGATTTCAACAGAACTATAATCTTGAGTCCTTTCACACTCTCTAATTAAAAAAAAAAATCCACTTGGTGAACAAAAACTCATCAGAAGGAGAGAGAACAGTGTTGCAAAGGCCTTCTTAAGCGCACGGCGTGACCAAGGCTCAGAGGGGAGAATGCTTACTATTGTTTTGTTTCTTTCTGTGATGTATAAACTGGACAGCCTGATGGAAAAAAAACGAACAAAAAAATCATTTTGTGATCTAATGAGTTATTTTTCACCAAGGCTCTACTGGAAGCATATTACTTATAATTAAGTAGTCATGCGGTAGACTTTTTGCCTGATTCAAACTTACCCCAAATGGCTCACTGGCCGTTAGGAAAGTTGCTTTCCCTTTTGCTGACTTCGTTTTCCACCTCCCCCTTCTCCTCCACCTCCCTGCAGGTTGAGATGGGCAGGACGGTGGAGAGAGAGTGAGCTTAGGTGTTGGACTCAGAGCAGCCTGGTGGAGTCTCTCTGCTCTGCCACTCAGTGCTGTGTGATTGTGGACCAGTTATTTAAATTAGCTGAGTCAGATATTTGCACACAAAATGAAAATAATAATGGTGCCTACCTGATAAATTTTTGTGAGTATTAAATAAGAAAACTCATGTAAAGAGCTTAGCCAAGGCTTAGGTCCTACTGAGACATCAGTAATGTTAGATATGATGATGATGATGATGAAGATATTAGATCTTAAACTTCTATCTTTGCAATGTCCATGTGATAGAGCCCAGGTCTTTAGGGAATATAGCTTCAAATAAGATTAGGATAGGTGTATATTCCAAGAAACTTGCTTTCATAAATGTTTTTACCTCCTTTGTCTTGTTCATATAATACACTCGGTCAACTGACCAAACAAAGGTATTTCATGAATGCTAATGAGGAAAAAAATTAACTGTTTTAAGATTGTAGCCTTTAAAAGCACTGCAAAGCTCCAGACAGTTAAAGTTTTCAAAACTGTAACTTTTTATAGTCTTGAAACTATTAAAAAAATCATTTGAAGAATCAATAAGCAAACACACAATTCTCTGAAAAAGAAAGAAAACAATACCAAGGTTCAATTACAGATATTCACAGATTTTTTTTCTTTTGCCTTCAAAAGCCAGCAAAACAGTTTCATAATTTTTCATAAAGAAGATTATATTTTAAACATGTCTTTGGTCCCATTGGTTAGTGTTTCTTTACATCATGTATACATCACTTAAAACTTCTTCTAATCTGTCTTTAAAAGATAGCCAAATGAACAGACTGAGATTAAGACACATGAGAAGTACCATGACTAAGTTAACACAGTAAGAACGAATCCAGGAGACCAGCTGTATTAAATGTTGCCGTGTCTTTGGCCCCACAGATGATGGAACAGGGGAGTCAGCTGATCGTCGATCACCTGGAAATCCAACGCTGGCTCTTTAAAATGGACTTCGAGTTTGGAGGAAATGGGACTGCATTTTGTGACATTCCTTCCCACCTAAAGTGCTACAAGTGGGTCCTAAAGGAGAGTCACAGATACGGCCGCGAAGACTGGAGCAAGAAATGGGCACAAGTGAGTGTTCGATGGTGGCATAAACCGGAAGTGTCCTGAGCACAGTTAGGAGATGAAGCAAAAGGCTCAGCTGGGGGATGAGGCGCTTACTTCTAGACCTGTCACCTACCAGCAGTGAGACCTTAGGCAAGCTTTTTACTTTCCGAGGCCTCAGTTCTTATATACAAAGTTAATGAGGTTGACTAGGCTATTTTAAATGTTCCTTCTTAGGAAGTCCTCAAATTGATTATGATGATTAGGAAGTAATTTTTTTTTACCATATTCAAATAGAATTACAGATCTAATCATTTGCTCTAAGTGAATCTTGATCATATGCTTCGAACAACTGTTGTTATTAAGCTAGCTGTATTTTATTATGAGAGAGAAATTCTATTAGTGAATGTTTGTCACCTGGAAGCTAATGTATAATAGCATTCTGTCAGCAGTCATATGTTTTTGAAGACAATTCAAGGAAATTTATGTAACTGCTGGCCCCTGTGAGATGTTGAGAAAACAATACATTCTAGCAAGAAAATCTCCAGGCAGAAACTGAATATTAGGTAAAAAAAAAGTCTTAGCATATGACTGACGTGTGTAGATTTTTCCATGTATGTTGGTGGAAAGATGATTTGTATAACTTCTTAGTCTGTTTCAAGCTTGCTTAATAATTAATTTTATATTGTTTATCTGAATTCAACCCGCCATTCTCAAAGTTGCCTCACTTTGCATCCAAAGGCCTCAACTCTCCTGGCTTCTCTTCATCTCACGTCTCTGTTTTGGCTGACCTTCTGGCGAAAGCAGAACTGATTAGGAAAATCCAGACACAAATTCTATTAACTGATTCCTTCCCCAGCGACATCTGTAGTGGTGGGCTGCGCGGTGATTTGCATCTGCTCTGAGCATCCCACTACGGAAGTATATGAATCAGGACACAAGTGAGCGAAAGGGAGGGGCACGTAAGAGAGGACCACATTATTCTTGTGAAAGGAGATGACGAATAAATCCAGAGAACAGTCAGAAGGGAGAGTTGCCTGTGACAAATGTTCCTGTTCTCCCCGTGATCTATTCTGGGCTTTTCTTCCCCCTCCATCAGTGAAGGGACTCAATGCGGTACCTGTCATGGCCAGCTTTTTACATATTATTTAAAGGATACCAAAGTGAATTACTCTTCTAGAAAAAAATGAAACAAGGAAAATGTATTTAATTTTGAAGCCCACAGAGGTTTCTCTTGTGTTCTCTTTCGACTGGATTTTACTTCATCCTGTATAAGAAAAAAATTTTTAAGCAAAACCATGGGGATTAAAATATAAAAAGTGGAACTTTTTTAATCTAAAAAAGTGAAATGCAGTGTACAAAGAATTTACTGTTCTCAATATTCCAAACCAATAATTTTTAAAGAACACTCCTGACACTAGACTATGATACATTTGAAATGTTTGACTTTAAACTTCAAAAAAATTTCAAATATTGGCATTTGGTTGACTTGCACTTAGAAGCCTGACTATATATTATTTAATTTCAATTCTTGCACAATTTTAACTTGTCAGCAAATACATTTGTCATTATTGTTAATGTTGTTAAATGTGAAACTTCGATAATTAATAATCTATCTAAATCAGCTTTTAAAACTTAGGGAAGAATAATTATTCAGAAATCTTGTTACACTCTGAGACCTGTGCTTAGCTACGGCCATGGTATGGTTAGAAGCCAAAAATAAAGTAGTTTTGAATAGCTTTTTTTTTTTTAATAGGAGACTATTGGCATTCTTTTGCCTTCAAAGTGAAATCAAAGTGGAGTGAGCTGCAGTCTCCATTGAGGGTAGCTATTGAGAATTTAGGATTAGAATTATCCTTTGTTCCAGAAGACCATCGTAATGGTGCACATTTAGACATCAAAGCGTTACTTTATGAGCACAGGCATGTTTTAATGTCCTATTACAGTTTGTAGACCTGTTCCTTTTGGATAATGAAGATGTTGTGTCATCACGCCTAGCCTGGCACATGCAAAACATATGCTGGCAGGTTATTAAAAATTTCAGCTTCTTGATGAAAGACTATCCTGCAGGCTAAGAGTCCAGAGAAAGACTCCATTCTGGGAGAATTATTAGAAATGAGAATATGACTGTAAGCACTAAATTATGTTAATACTTACAAATAGCATCATTTGCATAGCAGTTTATGACACGATATCATGATTTTTCTCATTGGTATGTTGTAGGCAACAGATTAAAAAGAGTCCTGTTTATGGGAGTTTGAACTGTTTTAAGATTCTCTTGCATCCTATGCAGATATTGGTTTTGGATGTAGGCATGATTCAATGTAGACTCAAAGATCTAATATAAAGATCATCTTTTTGTCTGCCTATCTAATTGAGGACCAGAGTTATTTGACTAGTTGCAGTTGAGAGTTGAAACAAAATCACGGACTCAACAAATGCTGAAAAGCTGAAATTACATTTAAAAAATCTATGTTGATGCAAAAAACTACCGGAACTGATAAACATTCAGCAAGGCAGCAGGATACAAAATTAACAAAAGAAACCTATTGCATTTCTTTATACTAACAATGAAGTATCAGACAGAGAAAGCTAAAAAAAATCCCTTCTAAAAATCACATCAAAAAATAATAAAATACTTAGGAATAAACCTGATGAAGGAGGTGAAAGATTTATATTGTGAGAACTATAAAACACTGATAAAGAAAATCGAAGATTATTCAAAGAAATGGAAAGATATCCCATGCTCTTGGATTGGAAGAATTAATATTGCTAAAATGGTCATACTATCCAAAGTTATCTATAGATTTAATGTAATCTCTATCAAATTACATTTTTCAGAGCACTAGAACAAATAATTTTAAAATTTATATGGAATCACAAAAGACCCAGAATTGCCAAAGCAATCCTGAGGAAAAAGAGCAAAGCTGGAGGTATAACCCTCCCAGGCTTCAGACAATACTGTAAAGCTACAGTCATCAAAACAGCATGGTACTGGCACAAAAACAGACATATGGATTAATGGAACAGAAAAGAGAGCCCAGAAATAAACCCATACACCATGCTCAATCAATATTTGACAAAGGAGGCAAGAACATACAATGAAGAAAAGACAGTCTCGTCAGCAAATGGTGCTGGGAAAACTGGATGTATGTAAATCAATGAAGTTAGAACACACCCTCACATGATACACAAAGATAAACTCAAAACGACTTAAAAACTTAAATATAAGACATAACACCAGATAACTCCTAGAAGATAACATAGGCAAAACATTCCCTATAAACTGTAGCAATGTTTTCTTAGGTCAATCTCCTAAGGCAAAAAAAGAAATAAAAGCAAAAATAAACATATAGGACCTAATCAAACTTATAAGCTTTTGCACAGCAAAGAAAACCATAAACAAAACCAAAAGACAATCTATGGAAAAAAATATTTGCAAACAATACAAAGGACAAGGGCTTAATTTCCAAAATATACAAACAGCTCATACAGCTTAATATAAACAAACAAACAACTACTTCCCAGTTGGGAGAATTTCTTTTCATGTAGTAGGAATAAAGACTTAAGCAAAGGAAGACACACTTGTAGGGGAAAACCATTCTTGTTACATATTGCCATACTACTTTCTAAGAAGGCAGTACTAATTTCCAAGGCCAGTAGCAGAGAATAAGCCTACTAGTTTTACCACCACCTTACCAGCACTGGGTATTATGAACTGTTGACACTTTCATTTCAGATGTCAAAAATGCCTCTTTTTAAACAAATTTTTTAAATTGAAGTACAGTCAGTTACAATGTGTCAATTTCTGGTGTACAGTACAATGTCCCAGTCATGTATATACATACTTATTATATATTATATTATTATAAGATATGATTATTATAAGATATGAACATAGTTCCCTGTGCTTTACAGCAGAAAAACTTTTTTAAAATCTATTTTTGTATATAGTGGCTAACATTTGTAAGCCTCAAACTCCCAAATTTATCCCTTCCCACCCCCTTTTCCTGGTAACCATAAAATTGTTTACTATGTCTGTGAGTCTGTTTCTGTTTTGTTAGATGAGTTCATTAGTGTCTTTTCTTTTCTTTTTTTTTTTTTATATTCCTACATTATTCAGTGTATATCTAT